GGAAATAACAACTATATGATAAAATAAATGCAAAAATAGGCAAAAAAATAATAATTTCAATTTTCATAGATGAATACTTTTGAGATGTTCATGATATAGCGTTTATTACATTTCAAAAGGGTTCTTTAGATTGGTTAGATTATACATCTGTGTTGTTTATATAGTTTAAAAAGTATATTATTTTACCTTGTAGAACATAAAACAAAAAGTAGATTAAATATTAAACAAGTTTCAAGAGAAAATAAATCTTCGTGTAAAGTAATTATTTACCTTTTTAGTTTTTCTCTACTAAATAGTCACTGTTAATCGTAAACATTTCATCACTAAATTTGTATACACTAAGAATATGTTTAATAAATTTTCATTCTAATTTAACTGCATTGTGACTTTTGTATCGTCGAAGAAAAAGACAGACTGATACTGTTTGCTAGAGATTTATTTTTATGACAAACTAAGATGATTGATGATTAAGCAAAGGCAACAGTAATGATGGTCACTATGAGTCTACAATTTTGGATTTAGTTCAAAACTGATGAACTGAATTACTTGAACAGTTCAGTTTGTTCAAAAGAACTATATCTATCCTTCATCGTCACTGTAGGATATGACTATCATAACTTGTTTTCACATCTTCAAATTGTTGTAATAGATTCTTTTTCTAATATTTTGAGCATTTTAATCTCAATTGGATTGTGACATATATGTAAATATGTATCCTCATATAGCACGCAACCAAAGATGATGATCTTCATATATCCTTTATGACGTTTAAAAGTTAACATATCATTTATTGTTTTATTTGCTTCTCATATCCAACTAAGAAAATGAGTTTTATATTATTTTCTTTTCAATTAAAACCTTGAAATATTCAACAATACTTCTATTGTAATTAATGTAGAACAATCTAAAACTTTCTTTTTGCTTCGGTAGACACATGATATATCGCTCTTTACATTTTCCTCTAATAACATTTTTAATATCGAAATGGCGTTTTATATTAAATATATACTAAAACACTGAATAATCTTATTTCTGTCTCTCTCTCTCTTTCTACTTTCCGTCGTTTAGACTGTTCATAATATTTTTATAATTAAATACTGCTCAATATCCACATCTTATGCAACAATGTTTTAATTTACTGTTAAACACGAACTAAAAGGAGTGTTTAGGAGTAGAAATTTGCACTCGCCACATACATGACAGTAGGTATTTCGCGTCTTGTACATTTTAATTCCACAGCGATTCCATGACACAGCTTTTCTACTTTATGTCAAAAAACTACAAATACGAATCTTTGACTGATTGATTCTTATTCTCTTACATTTTTCAAACAATTTCTTTTTATTCAGATTGTTGTTACAAATTAAGTATTAACAATTCAAGCATAATTGTCAAACACAAATTTCATATTATTATTTTATTATAAAATGAATAGTACGTATTTTGTTTTGTTTCATTTTTCATACTTTAATGCAACATCTTCAGATATTCTTCTAAAGTATCAAAAGATTTCGGTGCCAAGAAAGTACTCTGATTCTTTCTATTTAAAATTGAAGTGTAAAATTCTGTTTATGATATTATCAACCTTTCATCTTTTTGAATTATGAGATTTTCTTTCATTCAGAAACGAATTCAGTAGTGCTCGTTGTTTTATATAAATCATTTTCGTGCTTTTTTTCTATTTCCTTGTAGTGACAAATACTTGTAGACGAGCTTTGGAATGCTGCCGAAAATTTAAACAGTACTGTCAAAATCTTAATTTATTTCCATCTGTACCACTTTCAACTGATGAACATCAACTTAAAAATCAAAAAATATCAACCAGATTATACATTTCTTTGTTCACCTTATCATTAACAATTCTTCTCTTATATACATCATTAACCGACATTACAAAAACTATCACTGTTGCAAAACCTACTCTTACAAAATATGAACAATTATATTCTAAGTATTCACAAACTCTTACATGTCCATGTAAACATATATCAATCAACTATGACAAATTTCTATATATTAAGTATACATTTCATCAAGTATGCACCAGTGTTTTTATTACCGACAAATGGATTACACATAATGATGTGATTCTTCACTATTTATATACTAGCAGCGATCCTCGAATAGTAGTTTCATATGCATTTCAAGCTCTAGGTGCATTTTGTGAATTAATCGAAAGTACAATTAATAATAGTTTGATTCAATTTAATTCACAACAATATATCACTGCATCAGTCGCATCATCAGACTTATTTCAATCACAAGCTCAATCATTCATTGATCAGTTTAAATTATCAACAACAAATAATTTTTTATTATCTCTCAAATATGATCAGAAAGACAACTCAAGGAAATGCTTTTCTCTCTGGACAATTAACAAATTACTACTTAACGATAACAAATGGCGGTGTCAATGTAGCAACAAATTCGATAAGTTATTCTGATTGTAATTGCCATCTGTCAAGTACATGTGTGAACCAATTTTCCATTTATAAGAACGATTCTGGCAACGTGACATTATTCGATGTACCAGGTTTATATATAGGATGCTATGTAATTGAAGCATTACTTCAATCTACTCTTCAGTGCTTTTATGACCAAAACTGTATAGATGAATTACAAGTTTACTTAACAACTGCTTCGCCGATGAATGCAACAGCTCTTGACCCATCTTTATCAAGTCAATATTCCGAAAACTCAACAATTGAAAATCTTCTTAATAGTTTAATGATCGAAGAATGGAATTCAACACAAATATACGATCGATATTATGATGAATGTCAACCTATAGAATGTACTTATACTATTAAAACAAGAAATAGCATAATTTACATTATTACCACAATGTTTGGTATCGTTGGTGGTCTTATAACAGTTTTAAAACTTGTTGTGCCACGAGTTGTCAAGTTCATAAGAAAGAAGAGAAGTCGATTATCACCATCAAACATCGATAAGACAAAGTTAAAAGTTTTCTGTGATGTTTAAAACATGAAGTATTTATTGTCAATGCTTAGCATATTTGAACAAAATGAGAAGTTGTGTAGTTCTATTCAAAGTCGAAAAAGCTCCTGTGAAATTAGAAGAGAAAATTTTCTAGTCACCTATGTGCTATTCTTTTTTTTTGACAATATTCATTTTCGAGCACATTTAGGTTGTGGGTGTGAGTATTATATTCAGCACACATTCACATACACTTTTTATTAGAACTTCATTTATGTATCTTTTCTTATAGGAGTTCTACTGACTACTTATGTTCGCAATTTGTTTCCAATATTGAAAAATTATTTTTTAACATTAAA